TCTTTTTATAATCTAGCCTGGAATCTTTCTTTCTAGACATGTCTTATACATTTGTCCTAATCTGTCCTCACCCTTTTGCCAATGATAAGTACTCTGATGCCTGTAATATTAAAACTGCCTTTGCTCTATTAAAATATCATTTCCACAGTCTCAGGCACTTCTGAGGCAAAATTCACCTCCAGTACACTTTCAGTATCTTTTCTGACCATAAACCAACATTGTTTTTTCCCGTCATATTGCTTTGTCTTTTCGAGAATTTTTCTGTCTTATTTAATTATTGATACTTCTTGTGTTACTCTGTCTACCCAATTGTAAACTTCTCGAGATCAAGGATCTTCTGATGCTTGTCTTTGCAATTATCTCTGGCAAAGCAAATTGACTTCCATGTGAAAGATGTTCGTTAAATATATAAAGAATTAGATTATAGCAACACATTACATTGAGATTAGCCTAAACTCTTAAAGGCAGCATTTGCGTCATACTTGTCTTATATTTCCAACATCCAGCATACCGCCTTCACCATTAACATGTCTTTTGAATTGCTGAAGAAAATATTGAAAGTCTTTAGTTTGATCTTGTATTTTAGCTTCCAGGAAAAATCAAAAAGCTGGTTTCACAATTAATTAGGGGGATTTTCTCTTTAAAGTTATGAAAACTAAGGAATTTTTTATTTGGTTAGATTTCTGTTAGAGATTTGGAAAGAGTTTTTAACTAATTCAGCAGTGATATTTTTCCTAAAGATGATCAAGATCTTTTTGTTTTCTTTGTAATTAGTAGAAACAGCTGTGTGTCTTTCTACCTTCTGGTCAGTAATAATGAAGCAGATTCAACTTTTTCCCTCTTCGCAAAATTCAGGTTCTTGTTAAACCTTTGGGAGACCGAGGATATCTCTTTCTTCTCTCTCCTTATCAAATAGTGTCTCCATATGGTAAGTAATCGCCTTAATTTTTATAATTCTTTTTGAATTTTTTAATTAAAATACATTGTTAATGAATTTGGCTTATGTTTTGTTTTTTTGTTTTTTGTTTTTTTGTTTTTTTTAGAACACCAAACTGCCAAGTCTCGAGTTCTACACGCTTTGTTTCTGTTTCAAGAACCTAGAAGCATAGTTACTTGTAAGTTCTTGAATATCTAAATGCAGTTACTTATAGATAACTACATTTTGTTGAAAATTTCCAGATAATTCATGGAGCATTTTGTCTTTTACCATGTTCTGGGAATACTGGGAGGTATTAAGAGATATTAGCAATATAAAACATAAATTACATGACTTGATTTTTTTTTTTCACTCTGAAAATTATTTGGGTTTTAATCTGTTTTCACTAAATAAATGTTGATTGTAATTGTTACAGTACTACAGCTTCATTTTCTAGTTTTTTATATTATGATTACTTTTTAGCTTAGTTCATTCTTGCATTCAAATTTTAGCAACTACAAAAGTATTATATGCTAGGGTTATAATATTAGGCCATTCAAAATTAATAAGATATTTTCACACTGATGTTAGAGAAAATTTGCTATTCAACTAAGTTTAATTCATTATTAAGGTAAAGCCCTCACTAATGGGTTTCGCTGTTAGATTAAGAATGAGATTCTCAATTGTAGCCACTCAGTGCCTGCCTATCTCCTTATGGGAATAGAGAATTCATGTGAAGTTAAAGTTAAGTTTTAACAGAAAGGAGTGATACTGCTATCATTTGCAGGACTGTTTTGCTACAGGCCTTCGTTTTTGCCCTGCTTCTTTATATCTCCTTATATTATGTGTGTTTTTCCCTTTAAAAATATATGTTCTGCAATCTCTCTTGTTTTAGTTTCTTATTGGCTTATTTTAGGCCCCTGGACTTAGCAACATGCTTTTCATATATTTCATACTTCATAACAAATGAATATGCTATTCATATATTACATACTTTTATTAGGGTACATACTAGTTTGGTTCACCATTAAAGTATGAGTGTTGTTTTATTTCTTTGACAATAGATCTGTATTTGAGTAATTTATTGATTGCTAACATGGTTTACTTTTTTGTTCATTCTTTTACAGCACAAAAAGGTTCAACCAATGCAACACCACAGGAGAGACATGAGAGCATGCCAGATGTATTAAAAATAACTCAATTTTTACAATTTGCTTTGATTCAGTGTCGAAAGGAATTCAAAAACATAAATCCTATAAATTTTCATTCTGTTGTTGAAAAGTATGTAAGTGCATTTTTTAAGCGAGGTTTTGGTTCAGGTAAACGAGAGTTTATTATGTTTCCTTATGATTCACGATTAGATGATAAAAAATTCTTATACCCAGCTCCAAAAAATAAATCCCATATCGATGATTGTTTGCATACCTATATTTTTCGGCCTGAAATGTATCAGTTATCTATTTGTAAATTAAAAGAGCTATTTGAAGACAATAGAAAACTTCAACAGTTCAGTCAACATTCAGATTATGAAGGCCAAGAAGAAATGAATGGTACAAAAAAGAAATTTGGAAAACGAAATAACTCAAGGGATGAGACTATTAAACCTGGAAAGCAGAAATCATCTCACTCTTTGGATTATGATAAGGATAGAGTCAAAGAATTGATTAATTTAATTCAGTGTAGGAAAAAAAATGTGGGAGGGGACTCAGACACAGAAGATATGAGAAGCAAAACTGTCTTAAAGAGGAAGCTTGAGGATCTACCTGAAAATATGAGAAAGCTCGTCAAAACCAGTAATTTATCTGAAAATTGCCATCTGTATGAAGGTAAAATATTAGATTGCTTTTATGTAGTATAAAAACATCAACCAAAAATACATTAAAGTTGTTCTGTCCTAGTATTTGCACACAGGGGTGTGCAAATTACAACCTAAAAGCCAGTGCAGCCTGTTTTTTTAGAGAAAGTTATATTGGAATACAGACGTGCCTATTCATTTATGTATACATATAGCTAGCTTCTTTGACATTATAATGACAGAGTTGGGGCAGAGACTCTAAGGCCCATGAAGCCTAAAATATTTATTCTCTGGTCCTTTACGGAAAAATATTTGCCAACTCTTCCCTAGCACATCAGATTTCTAAATTGTGTCGCTTAGGCTAATGCGAGAAAATAAAGTATGCCTAGCTTTTACCCTGCAATTTCGACCCCCTGTCCTTTTATATTCCTTTAATTTTATAATTGGAAATGTCTAACATAGAATATTGAGGTTTTTCTTAAGGATGCTTGATGAAAGGAACATTCTGAGCTTTAAAATAAAATTTCTTAGATACATGAACATATTTTTTCCACCTCAGGATTCCAGTAATATATTTGGCTTTTTTTTTTTTCCTATTTTTATTTGCTTTTTTGTTTTAGTTGATAGAAAAGAAATGGGAGATAATCTCTTTAGTTTTTCATTTAAAAATTAAATGTGTGTTTCTTAATATTGCAAGTAATTTAAAACATTTTTTCATTAGATTTTTAAGGTCTCCACACCGCTATTCCATAAGCATGAAATACGTTCTCTTTGCATCTAGGGACCTTTGATGGAACAGTCTACATTATATGCCGCTTCCACAGTTCTTATTGATTATGGCAGATCTTCAATAACATGTGACTAGTGGCTGCCATATTGGATAGTACTGGAAGTTTAAATTAACTAAAATGAAATAAAAATTTATTTCTTATGTTATACCAGCTATAGCACTGTATTGAATAGCAGAGGTAGCATTTGCATCAGAGCAGAAAGTAGTATTTGACAATGCTGTTCTTTCCAATAATTTTCAGAGTTTTTTTCTTTACCTTTTCTTTTCAGTATTTTCATCCCAGTCTGTGTTCTTATCTATGATGGCCTTCTGTCTTCTCTCAGTCATTTTGATATCATGTTCTTCTCAATATTGCTTTGGTAATTTGCTACAAATCTCAACTTCTATATTCATCTTTTAAGGCTTTGTTATAGATTGGCCACATCCAGCCTGAATAGCCATGTTTCCCACTCTTCCTTAACATGCTCCTTAGTTAAGGCTCATCTCTCTTGAAGAATGTCATGAATTGCCCTTTTACTTCTTTTTCTTTTTTCTTGAAGCATCTCTAATTTCCCTCAAACCTCTTATCTTTGCAGTTCAGAACCCTTCTTAGCTTTCTGGCTGTTATGCCCCTTGATGGTTTTCATTTCCTTTAGTTTACGCTGGATTTCTGCTCTGTGCTGAACCTGTTGACACTTTCTGATCCATACAGTTTTATACTGCTCATATGTGTCTTGAAAGTTAAGTACTTACTACGTGCTAGAGGCTTTAGATACATGGACTCATTAGGTCATGAGTGCTAGACATAATTATCCTTAATTTACAGATGAGAAAATCATCTCAGAGAAGTTAAATAACTTTATCTAAAGATATGTAGTTTACTAATCAATGATTGAACTCAGTTCTGACTGATACAAAGCATTGTTCCTAAACTCGACTGTATTTCCTAGCACTAAGCACATAATAGCCAAGACACTTAAATTTTGGTGTCGTTGTAACTGATGATTGACTGACTTCATACATGTGAAAAAATGTTTGGGGGTGAAAATTAGGCTTTATTCATAGTTAAAATGGGAAATCCATTCTAATTATAATAGACCAAAGGGAAAATGGGGCAGGGGAGAAGGGGCCAATAGATTAAACTAGAGCTAGTAATGATCAGAGTTGGATTTCTAGATGTTCCTCACTTGCATTTCTTTCTAGTCATTTTGTACACTTCTGATTTTTAAAAGTAGAGATTTAAAGGTTGGATTCTAATTTCTAAAATACCTTGATCTTGATTTGGTGGTGAACCCAGTCATTTTATAAGAGGATTTAGCATCAACTTTTTTGAGATGTGGTTTATATACAGTGTACCCATTTTAAGTTCACAGTTTGATGAGTTTTGATAGCTATGTTACCACCACTCCAAAATTATTCTAATTTTGGAGTGGTGGTAACATAGCTATCAAAACTCATCAAACTGTGAACATTTTTTTACCCCCAAAAGTTGCCTGGTGCTCCTCTGTAATCTCACCCCACTACTACTTTGTGTTCTGTCTCCATAGATTAGTTTTGCCTGCTCTATAATTGCATATAATTAGAATTGTATAGTATATACAATATTGTTTGATTTGTTTTGTTTTTTTTGCTATGGTACATGATACCCTACCTGACATCTACTCAGGCCTTACCTTCCTTCAGCATTAGAGCACATGACTTTCTGAATGTGTATTCACTTTGCGAGTTTTTAAATATATTATTGTGCAGATTACCCAGATTTATACCTGCTTGGAGCCATGTCCTGACATGTTTTCTCTTATAGTGCTTTCTGTTCTTAATGCGAGTTTAATGTTTATTTCTTTAGGATGATTTCGTATCTCTAAAATCCAGGCTTTGTAATCTAGTCATTTTGAGATAAGGCTTAGATGATAAGAATGTCAGCCTGTATCTTAAGAACAAATTGTAATAAGTATAAAGGAGATAGAAATCAAATTAAGTCATGGGTTTCTTTTTCCTTTTTAGTAGATTTTAATGTAATCTGCATACCCTTCTAACATTTTGCAAAATAGCAAGTGCATATATTTTATCTGTTGACAAGCACCTGGTTGACTTTGGGATTTTGGTGGTAGATTTTAAGCTAACTACAGTACAGTTAGTATATATATTATCAACTTGATGTTTGTGCTCATTCTTTAATAGATTTTTCAAATTATGTAAATTTTTATTTAACAGGAATTTTGATCTTTGCGCAAAATTTTAGAACCAGTCATATTTGTAAAGTAAGGGATGGATGTACTTGTAAAGTCTAAGTCAGTGGTTTGATTGAATTTCTGCTCATAAATGTCTTAAGTATAGTATATTTATTTAGTTATTTAAGGCTGGCCTTCCAAACTTAGAGATGACTTTTCTTTCTCTTTTTTCTTCAGAGTCTCCACAACCTGTTGTCTCACTTGGGCATGATGCCGACTTGAGACAGCAGCAGCAGGATACCTCTAACTCTGGCGTTGCTGACATCCATAGGCTATTTAATTGGCTATCAGAAACACTAGCAAACGCACGCCATTCTGATGCATCCCTGACAGACACAGTTAACAAAGCCTTAGGATTGAGCACCGATGATGCCTATGAAGAGTTGAGGCAAAAGCATGAATATGAGTTGAATTCGAACCCAGAAAAGAAAGAATATGAGCAGCCTACTTGTGCAAAAATTGAAAATGCACATTGTAAGGGTACTCAGAGCCCATTGCTAGAAGCTGATAAATCATCTTTAAAGTATCCTCTTGCTGTTTCTACCAGAGAAGTAGGCACTGACCATAAACTACATTTGAAAGAAGTAAGCATATGTCTTTTGATTATCTTGTTTGCATTTGTGAATGTGTGTGAAAGAGAGGATGTGGGTGTGCTTCAATGAGTTTTTTCTCCCTTTGAAAAAGAAATAACACATTTCACTAAAAGTATCTGTCCAGGATAGTATTTCTAAGTTATTCCTTGTTACAGAGAGATAAGTAAAGAAGTAGTTTTCCTTCCTGCTTATAGGCTTATATACTAAGATGTACCTGTTGTGATAAAGTTAAGGCTGTTCAAGAAATGGCTATTGGGAGTTAATTCCATATTGTTTCATAATAAAATCAGATTTCCAAAACATTGGCTTTCTGCTGGCAGTACCAGAACCCAAAGGTGAAGCAGGTGAGGTGACTAAAGTCAGTGCACCAATGTTTCAAGGTTAGGTACTTTGTATTTCTTACGGGAATAAGGAATGAAAAATGTATGGCCTTTAGGATTATCTCTGAAATGACACTCAGCCTTGCTTGACACGGAATCCAGTTTATTTATGATATATGCTTAAGAATACTGATCTCTGGCTGAGAAGTAACCTTTATCTTCCCCCCAGAAGTGGCTGCATCACTTGAAACAATACCAGGATGGCACCATATTCCTTAGGGCTTATTTCTAATTTATCTTTCCTCGATTTTCTCTAACCTGCCTTTGAATAAAAGCCATATGCATGTCCCCAGGCTTTGTCCATGTAATTTTGGGATATTTCTTTTAAGGGGAGGAGGATAGCATGAGGCTCACTTGGGGAGGTGTGTAAAGTAGGCAGTGAGAAACTCATCTATGTTGTTAATATTTCCTAACATATTTAATCATAGACCAAACCCAGCCCACTTCCTATTTTACTAACTAAAGTTTTATTGGAACACAGCCATGCCCATATGTTTAGATATTACCTATGGCTGCTTTTGCACTACAGTGGCAGAGCTGAGTATCTGAGTATATATATGGCCCACAAAGCCTATTTAGCTCTTTACCAAAAAGGTTTACCAATCTCTGCTCCAAATCAGCATCACATTATGTTTTGAAGGAAAAATTATGTTTTAATTTGAGGCTAGAGTACTGTAACTTTTCTATGTTGATTTGATTATAATATTTAGATTTAAACTTGTGAATTTGTTTTGAAAAAATAGTTGTTTATTCTTGACATTAAAATTAATTGAAAAGAAAGCTATTGAATATGTACTCTAATTTTTAGGATCCAAATTTAATTAGCATGAATAATTTTGAAGATTGCAGTTTGTGTCCCACTGTTCCCATTGAACATGGATTCCATAGACCATCTAAATCAAATAATGTTGAAGAGACTGAAATACATTGGAAACTGATTCCAATTACAGGTAAGAACCAAGTGTATTGGGAATTAGGTTTGCTTGGTTTTACTTAGGGATCAGTTTCCTGAAGGGTTTCATCTTTTCTAGATTCTACTCTTGAGACATTAGGTGCATCATCTTACTTGGCTATGACATCTTCAGTGTCTTATTTTGAGCAATGTAATGTTCATCACTGAGCATTGCTGTCCTTGGTCAGCATCAGCAAGTATCTGCAAAAAAAGCGTGTTTAAAAATAAGGATTTAAAACATACTTATCTCCCTGTGGAGTTTAGCATATAAATTTCCAAATGAAAATTGTCAGAAATTGAGTTTCTAATAAGTTGAAATAGCTACAGAGATGAAATGATGGCCAATAAATACTGTCTTCTCAAATTATTAAAGTAAGCTTCACTATAACAAGTTATCATCTAAGTGATAATGTTGTTCATCTATTTGAAAGAAATTTGATTTTTTAATATAGGATTATCTTAGAGAAATTGGATCATTGTAGAGAATCTCCTAAAATGATTGAATACAGATAGAAAGCTTTTTGAACCTGGAGTAAGAATAGTTTAGCAAATGTTGAAAGATCACTTTGCAGTGTTCCGATTTCTCCGTGCAAACACATATACACATACATATATACATACTCTTAATATTCCAAGTTCTTATTCATCTTTGTTAGCTAAGGATTTTTGAAATATTTCCAGGGCACATCTTTTCCATTCGTAGACCTCTATATAACCTTTACAAAGAAAAAAAAAAACTTTTTGCTAAAAAGTAGACTGGCTTGTGACCTAGAAACTCCTATGACCTCCAAAGTCTCTGAGGAGAATTTCTAAAACTTTGATGAATTTCCAGGACTTCAGCACCATTCTCTACTTAGTTCCTTACTGGAGAGGGCAAGAGGCCTAAGTGGGATGGCAGAGAGACAACTGTTTCTCACTTAGGAGCTGGAGATGTCAGCTTGCGTGGGAGAAGCAGAAAAAGGAAGTAGTCAGTACAAGAAAATTAACTAGCAATTTCTCATTTAGTTACCTTCATAGTTGATGTTCAGAGCCATTTGAAGGCAGAACATCTAGGTGTTGATATTCCATCATCACCTAAATGGAAAGGGAAGCAACTTCCCCTTTCTGAATGACCCTTCAGGATTATTTTAGACAAAAGAAGGAATACTTGGATGTGTTAGCATTTGGAGTTTTCTGAAAGGTGCTTAATAGGTATCACCAGTATCTGAAGAGAGTCTACAAATCTAATGGATGCTTTCCCTCAGGAGGGAATGCAAGAAGCCCAGAAGACCAGCTGGGGAAACATGGTGAGAAACAAACACCAGGTGAGAAGGCTCGCTTTGCTTTTCCTCCCAATGTGCCCTTCTTCAGAATTGCTACTTGCATTTCTGGTCTTCCATCAATAGGGCATCAATTTAAGCTCTGTTAATTACAGAAAATTTGAACAATATATTTAAATCATAAACTGATTTGTATCAAATATTCTTATACAAAAAATGTTTAAAGCAGGCATTGCATATTCATAGAAATTAAGTTTTCTTCTCCTACAGTCAGTTCTGTCAGATATGATGACTTGGGAAGACTGGAATATTTTTCTTAATCCATTTCTGCAGGATATTCTCTGAGAAGCAGTTATCAAATTTCTTTTAAACTTAAAAAATAGGAAGTGAGGCTATTTATCTTTTAGGTACATTATTCCTAATCTTGAATTTTTTTACCCAGTTCTTCTAATTGTAAAGCTAATTTCAGCAGATATTTTAAATCAGGAAACTTTCAGATTCCAGAAACATTTACAAATAGTAAAGATTAGGTAGTTGCAGTTGGTGCCTAAAAGTGATTCTTTTGTCTGAGCTCAGTCAATTCAACATCACTACATCGTCATAGGCATTGTTCTTCTTGCTTAGAGTTTAGTGGTAGGTCCTTTTTATATGTTTCCATTTTGTTGATCTTATTTTTTCAGAAATCTTAAGTGGTTTTTTTGGGGAAGGCTGTTTGGAGAGAAAGCTAATGACCTTTTAATTTTAGTCGGTCTTCACAATTATTCTCTTTGGGGAATTAAAAAAAAAAAAAAGACTTTTAGTTGAAGATTTTCTTGAAGAAAACTATCACAACTCCTAGGAAAAGATAATAAAAAAAAAAACGAACAGTAGATATATGACATACAGAAAAGTGCTCAGATCTTTACTATATAGCTCAATGAATTTTTATGTATATACATTTAATGTGACACTGCCCAAATCAATATGTAGAACACTTCCAGCACCTGAGATTTTCTTCTGCATCTTCCCAGTTACTACTCGCCCTGTCCACAGTAGTAACTATTAAATCTGACTTCTTTCACTGTAGATTAGTTTTACCTGTTCTTGAATTAAAGCTAAATGGAACCTACATATGTCCTCTTTTGTTTTTGGCTCTTTCAACATTTATGTCTGGGATTCACCTGTTTGAATCTGTCAGTAATTCTTTCTCATTAGGAGCAGCAGGTATCTTGTTTATGCTTTAAAATGTTCCATCAGCATTAGTATCCTCTTAGCATACCATCTTCATATTTTGTGATTGAAAATATGAATATCTGAATGATGCTGCCTTTTGAGAACTCACTACTCTCTTTTCACTTAAAAGTCACAGTACTGTAATTCTTGAATGACAATCCGTAGAAAATTTGCATTATTACGGATATTGACATGTGTGTTTCTTTTAAATCATTTATTGAAGACATTTTAAAAATACTAAATTTATTAATCTAGGGGATATCATATCAGGGATATTTGATTGCAAGATAAAATAAATTTGGTTTAGAGTTTTTTATATGGAAAATTCACGTAGATTTAAGTTATATTTTATCTTTAAAAATTCTCTTTATCCATAACCCTTCAGGAATAAGGTTATTGGTCTGAACTATAGCTGTAAATTTTGAGAGCAAATGTTTTATTTTAAATAATAAATGACTCAAATGTTTTTAAATTGCAGGTAATCCTCCACAACCTATTTGCTTTATGAGATTCAGTTAAAATTTTTTTTATTTAAATAAGTCAGACATTTGACATGGTACATAATTCAAGAAGTACAAAAATACTTTTAAAAGTCTTCCATTTCTAGCCCAAACATTTTATATGTGTACTAAACCCCATATTGCGGATTTAAAAAGGACATTCAGTATTCCTGAGTTACTTTATGGAACTTGAATTTTCTGATTTATCAGTTTCATGTAGTTGTAATTCTTACCTTGGTACTCTGGGTGTTTTTGTCTCCTCTTCCACTTGTAGACTTGCTATGGTCTTACCCTACGGTCTGGTGCCTTTGCAGTAGTTAATGGTTACAGTGGTTCATGGTAACCACTGAGATGGGTAGAGAAAATTTCACAATCCTGACTGCTGCTGAGGCTGTTTAAACCTTTAGAAAAGTGTGTGTGGTGGGGGGGAAATGAAAACTAAATTTTGAGTAGAGAGGGCATGCTGCTATACCTGGGTGAATAGGGAATTCACTATATATTTAAAGTACTGTAGGTTTGAAAACTAGTACCTGGTCTTTCTGATTTAGAGGTACCGTTTCATATGCTAGAACAGCAATTTGTTAGGGAATGTTGACTAAGATTTAAGAAAAATTAGTAATTTTTTAAAGGACGGAATCATGTAATATGGATCTTCAGATGATGAAGTTTTTCGAAAATATAATACTTTAAATTGTCGTTAAACATATTTTCCCTTGTTTTTTAAAAAGAGATTTAGGGTACCTGTTTTGAAATGTAGTTTTGTAAACCTATTGAGTTTGAATTTAGGATTTATTGGGAGGGGTATGATCTTATGGATTGAGCTAGTTGTTAGGAGTCAAAAGTTAAATAGTTCAGCTACCTGAATGATCTCTTCATCTCAAATGAGATTTCTCTTGGAATTATTTTGAAACAAAAGAATGCTTACAAAACCACAATAAAAAGTGTTAATGTAGCTATGAAATATGTTCTCTTCCTGTATTATTGAGCATTTTTCCCTGATAAAGTCTGTAACATTGCAGGAAATCCACTAAACAACCCCATATGTGAATCTGAAAACAGGTAAAATTAATTATCCTACGTCTTGAATGCAACTCTTGGTAATTATTCCCACAGCATTTCAGTTTGGCATTCTTTGAGTTGCCTCACAACTCAAATTTTCATATTAAGACAGTATTACTATAGTAGACATTAGTTGGCAAAGTTGAGCAAGCTATTGCAACTGACTATCCTAATTAAAACATGTTCATTAAAGTCAGATCTACAGAAAGGTAGGGAAGCAGAAATAAGCAAATGACTTAATTTATATTGATGCCAAATTGGCCCTCGTTCACACCATTTGAGATTTTTATTCTACCTTCCAATATGTAATTAGTTCTAACTTCACCTGACATTTTTGTTTTTTAGATGTTATTTATTTTTTTCGAATTGCTCTTATAATAATGAACTCTTCCTATATAGGTATGAAATCACCAGAAGAACAACTGGTGTATCTGCCACCGCAGGAGGCCTTTCCTAACGACCCTCGGGTAATAAGTAGACAGAGAAGTTCTGATTACCAGTTTCCATCCTCTCCATTTACAGACACACTAAAGGGCACCACCGAGGATGACGTGTTGACAGGTCAGGTGGTGACAGTGGAGGAGCAGTGTGTGCCAGCAGCAGAGCCGCCTGCAATGAGCGAAACCACAGAGAGGACAGTGTTAAGAGAATACAATCTCTTTTCTAGGAAGATAGAAGAGATTTTGACGCAAAAGAATGTTTCATATGTCAGTAGAATTTCCACACCTATCTTTTCAACACAAGAGAAGATGAAACGGCTTTCTGGGTTCATATATTCTAAGACTTCTAAAGCTGGCATACAGGAGTTTGTAGATGGCTTGCATGAGAAACTAAATACTATTATTATCAAGGCATCAGCCAGGGGTGGGAATTTGCCACCAGTCAGTCCTAACAATTCTAGTACTAAGATGACATTGAATCCTGTGGGAAGACATGTCATACCTGTTTGTTCAAGTGACTTCAACAGTAAACACCTTGAACCACTTTATAGTGATACTTTGAAAGACACCAACTCTAATGAGCAGCATTCCTCTTCAACTTTGGGTTTAACTGAAATAGAAGTGAACCAGCCACACCGTGCCACAGAGCTAATGGTGACTTCTGATCATACTGTACCTGGTGATATTGCTCAGGAACCAGTAGAAAAGGAAACAACAAAATCACCCAGTGATGTAAACATTTCTGCCCAGCCAGCTCTTTCAAATTTTATAAGCAAGTTAGAACCTGAAGTATTTAACAGTTTGGTTAAAATCATGAAAGATGTCCAGAAAAATACTGTGAAATTTTATATTCATGAAGAAGAAGAGAGTGTGCTCTGTAAAGAAATAAAGGTAACTAAATGAGAAGGTAATAGTAATGCTGGATAAACTTGTCTTGTTGAGTCTGACTTCTATAAAAAGGAATTTTTTTCTTTTTAAATGTTGACCATATACCTAATTTAATGTAGAGTGGAATAAAAGACTAGTAGTTCAACTAAATTGAAAACCTGTGATCTAAATATCTTAGAATTTAGAATCTTGTGTTATAGTGTTATTTTAAAGACTATTGTATACATACTGTAAATACCTTTAAACTGTTAATTCAAAGATTTTAAATGTTTCATACTTGGGTTTTTAATGAAGGGGAGGGAAAGATACAGAGGGTTAAAGGAAGTTGTCAGTGTTAACCTCATGTGGGATTTATCAATCAAATAGAAAAATAAAACTGTCCAGAGATGACCTAATGATGATATCTTTTGGTATTTCTTGATACCCTGCTCATGTCAGGGTTCCATTCCCTGCAGCCCTTATTGATCAAAAAATATGATGATCTTGAAAGATTCCCCAATCACGAAAGATTCCTCTCTGCAAGGTATATATATTTTTGCTACTGAAGCTACAGAGTAGACAGTTGTTTCAGGTATTTTATATTAAAAAATACAATGTATTTATGTGTATAGAGATGCAAAATAGGTATGTAAATTATAACACATTGGAATAATTCTATGGATTTGTTATTAACCAGTTAGTATTTGCTAAACTATAGGATTTTAATTCTTTAAGGGAATGCTGTAGGTTTTAAAATAAAATGCCTGCTCCCTTTTATGGAATTTACCATGATGAGTTTCTGACTGTTTTATTAGAGGAAGCAGAAAACTATAAGTGGCTTATAAGCCCAGAATTTGGCCCAGAAACTCCATGCTGCTGATGTGTCCTGAGGCTTTGTCAGTTTGGGAATCTCTTTGATGTCAGCATGTTTCATGTAGTGTGCCCACGAGAACATGAAGACCATGGAAATGAAGGAGGAAGCAGAGTGCTCAGTAACCATAGAATTCCCTGCAATTTCTTGGGATGATGAAACCAGACTTACTAGGAATTTGTTTGCATTTTTGCCTTGTATGACAAAGTGGAGCTTCTCAGTTTTTTTCCACGCCCAGCAACATAATTGCAAAACATGTTTGGGGCATACTCTTTGAGGCGTAGCTACACGTTGTTCTGGGCCTAGAAAATACATTTGGCCCAGGGCTCAGCATTACTCCATCTCCCTCCACATTTTTTAACTGATTGTAACACACAGGAAGTGAATTTACTTATGACTGGTGCTTTTAATTCATTCTTGCATAGAATAAATCATATTTCTGTTATTTAGAAAAGGATGCTCTGTGTTTTACAAATCTGATAGGAAATCAGACCGAAACTTTTAATATCCATTGGGAAATTTCCAGCAAAAATCTTACAATAGAATAAAAACTTTATGAATAAAATTTTAAGTTTCCTAAATATTTCTGGAGTCAAACTGATTTGTTATTGAATGAGTTAAACTGTCTTATCTAAAATGAACTTGCATTTAAAGCTACTTAAAGACAGACCACATATCATAAACTGGAGATAGTAATTTACCTGACTATAAGCTGCTCTGAGATCTGCCTAGAAGCTTTACAGATTAGAGCAAATTAAACAATGTAGAAGATACTGCTTTAGTTTGGAGCTATATAGAAATATCTTCTTTGGGTACGATTCTTGTAGACCGTTCTTAAAAGAACAGTAGACTGATTGTGAGGCAGGCTGGGTTTCGATTTACACTTATGTAACCAGCCATGCCAATTTGAGAAACTTAATCTGCTCCTGTGTCTGTTAAATGAGGAATGTGACCTCCAGGATCCTGCAGTTTGCTTCAGAGTTCAGGATTCTAGCAGCAGGCAAAGAGCAAAGGGGATTCTGCCTGGACTACTGCCTTGTGTCCTTTGAAAGGCACTATTATGTCACCAGCATGGAGGGAGGTAATAAATGGGAGAGTCTATTTTGTTTGAAGGCATAAACTTGACAGATAAGGCATTGTACATACTGAAGTTTCTTATGAATGATTTTGGGGCTGTTGTGCATTAAATGAGCTATAGTGATCACAAAAGTGTTTTGTAACTCTGAAGGAATATACCAGTAATCATTGCTGCAAATAACCAAGGGCGGGCTTTGAAAGAAAAGGAAAATGGGAATGAGGGAACGGTTAATAATTGGGCTCTGGGATGCCCAGAATAAGCAATGGAGCTAGGTTAAGAACCTCAGCTAATCCATTGTTCTTACAGTTCTTTTATTCCACACTGGCATTTTCTTGGCTTTGATTGCATAGCATTGTAACATTGTGACTGTGTCCATTTAAGCTGTGAGCTTTATTTATCTGTAAGAGTGGGTTTGATCTCTGAGCTCCTTAAAGTATAAGGTCATCATTAACAGTGTTTTAGCTTAAGTTTATATTTATCAGTTTATCTTGCAATTGTAGTGTTAAATGAATAATTGCACAAAAGCTTTTTAATGTTGATTTAGTTTTTTTTCTTTAACAGGAATATCTTATCAAATTAGGCAATACAGAATGTCATCCAGAACAGTTTTTGGAAAGAAGATCGAAATTAGATAAACTATTAATTATTATTCAAAATGAAGACATTGCAGGTTTCATTCACAAGGTAGACTATTAAGTCAGATTTACTACTTACTTTGGTTCTAAAAACACCCTTATAAAATCTTACAGTCTACTAAAGCTATTTATTTTTTTAAATATCCTCATATTAAAGGTGGTAAAACTTCAAGGTTGGGAAGTTTAGGGCTTGAGACCTAAACAACCCTTCTGTGACTCAGCTTGTGAGATTCAAGTTTGTACCCCTGTAAAATTTATTTAAAATTTAGGCTTCACATCAGACTTCCCTATCACCCAAGTAGTCAGGACTAAAAATACTAACTCCTTGTGGGTCTGCTGACTCTTTCTATTGTTGTCATCTTCATTTGTATGTCATAGGCGAAACCTATTTTTACCCTCTTTGCCAAACCAGTCCCCCGTTCCCTTGGGTTTGGAGATACCCCATCCAGTAAGAGCCTACCTCGAGTCCTGCCCTTCGAAGCCTTTCCTGGCTGTTCTAGTACATAGGCTCTTGCCCTAATTTAGACTATATTCACAGGCCAGACAGGTTAACATTTTTCATTCTGTTTCCAGGTCTTTTGTGCTTTTTCCTTAGAGTGTTCTGTTCATGGTAGGTGTCCATTACATAAATGTTGGTTCATATATTTTGAAATAATGTTGGGAATATTATTTTGTGCTTGGCTTTTCAGAGGCAACACACTAATATAGGTGAGCCATATTACATTTCGTTAGACTTTTCTTGTAGGTTACTTCACGCTTGAGTGTGTCAGTTCATTCCCTTATCTGTCCTTATTTCTATTTTTATTTTGGTATTTAAATAGGTACCTGGCTTGGTGACTTTAAAGAAGCTCCCCTGCGTTAGTTTTGCTGGTGTTGATAGTCTGGATGATGTTAAAAATCATACATACAATGAATTATTTGTATCTGGAGGTTTTATTGTATCTGATGAATCCATTCTAAATCCAGAAGTTGTCACAATTGGTAAGATTTATGCATTCTCTTGAGCATGTTATTTCTCGTCTTTTCTAGGTTTTTCTCAATAATGACTCACTCGTACTTTTAAATGTATTGTCCATTTTGCCAATAACAGATAAGTAGTACATTTCCATCATTTTCTTGAGTTTTTACTACCTCAAATTTCTTTCCAGTGTTTAGTCTATACAAATCATTTCCTCAAAATTTGATGTAAAGCAAAGCTCTCTATACCTACGACATTTGAATCACTTCTGGTTTATTGTTATCAACATGTTCTTTTTTATAATGTATGGATCTAAAAGAATATATAGATCTCTTTCTCCCTTAGAGAAGGGAAAAAAGAAAAATACTACATAGGAATGTGTTTCTACACAGTATCACTAAACATTTCCTCTGTAATGAAGTTGTAGGTGACTTATTTATTGAATTTAAAATGAACTTCATTATCTCTAACAGAGAACCTTAAAAATTTTTTGACATTCCTCGAAGAACTTAGTACTCCAGAAGGAAAATGGCAATGGAAAGTCCACTGTAAATTTCAGAAAAAACTAAAGGAACTGGGCAGGTGAGATTTCAAAAATAACTATATAATGGTTGTTGATTTAACATTGTGTTCACAAAGGTTCTCTGTTTCTCTCTGTTTGTAGATTATAGATGCAGGCTCAGTATTTACAGATGTACTTAGCCCCAGCCATAAGAAAATGTGATACTGAATTATTCTAGCCTCTTTGCAAGTGGTATTCTTGTATAGATATTAGTTTGCTTAAGTTCTAGTTATGTAGATAGGTAAAATTGGTTTAATCTTTGCTACTTGGGAGTTTAGAATAATAACTAAAATGGAATAATCAATTTTTTTTTACTGAATTGTATATGCCAACTAGATCAGCTTCTCTCATAATTGTGGACTACATTATGCAGCTGGTTTAGTAACATCACATATACTGAGAGACAAGGATTAATCTCAGCATAAGAGGATTTGTGATAAGGACATTCATGTATGTAAACAGATGATTTTTAACATGCCCTGAAGTCACTTCTCAAAGTGTGAACCTTAGAGCACCAATCATTTTGAGAGGCTCCACAAATAATTATGTAATCAGTTGAGTGTGGGATATTGTATTTTACTACTAGAGTCTGTACGGTGTATTTACATATTTAAGGATCTGAGAAACTCTGTAGTAGTTTTACATTTTCTCAGCCAGCATTTCCTAAACTTAGGCCACAAAGCATTTCTTCTAATACCTGTTGACATTCCATGGTACACACTTAGGGAAATGCAGGCTTAAATAATTTTTTGGTATTTAACTTTTTGTAGTAATTCACTTTTTAAAAACTTGTTTTATCTTCAAATCATGTGAAATAGGCATCGTGCAAGTCTGTCATTATATAACATCTCAGTACTGAGGACCACAGGTCTAACTTCTACAAAGTTAGTACCCTCATTTTCCTGACAACAGTAATTTCTACCACTTGTTGCCTTGTGCTTGGAGGTATAGAAATAGCTTAGAGCCATATATTTTTAAAGGAAAGATTTATATTTTTTGGTCCATTTGTGCCCGTCATTAAAGGTCTAAATTGGTGAAGCTAAAGAGAAGCGTAATTTATTAAATAAAATGGTTGGTTTGAGATTTTAGTCTACACTGAAGATGGCCTTCAGGCTTTGCACCCAAAGTCCCTTGGCTTACATGTGGGTTGCACAGTTCTTGCTACTTCTCTCTCCTAAGCAGCACCCTTACATCAGGCAGTGGACTAAGCAGTGCATTTGTTATTGTCTCAAGTAAGAAATTATGGTTTCAATTTGAAGCAAAAATTTTGATACTAAATTTTAGAAAAGCAGGTCCAGATACTGAATTACTTAATTTTACAGATTGAACGCTAAAGCTCTAAGTCTGTTGACACTTTTGAATGTCTATCAGAAGAAACATCTGGTTGAAATTTTGTCATACCACAATTGTGATTCACAAACTCGAAATGCTCCAGAATTGGATTGCCTTATCAGACTTCAGGCTCAGAACATACAGCAACGACACATAGTCTTCTTAACAGGTAAAGAGAATGCTCTTAAATTTCCTACTATGAATATAGGAATGTCCATGAAAGGATTTTGTAGTGCTATGATGGGTATTGATAAGCTATGATTCTGCAAATGTGTAGGAAAGAATTTTGTGAGGAGACAGGCATCATTTGTCCATGTACATTTTCAAGAATTTTATACTTGGAACATTTTCTTTTTAATTTAGAAAAGAATATCAAGATGCTTTCCAGTTATACAGATAATGGGATAGTAGTTGCAACTGCTGAAGACTTTATGCAGAACTTTAAAAATCTTGTGGGCTATCACAACTCAATCACAGAAGAAAATCTTCCACTGCTTGGTGCTAATGAGAATCTTGAGTCACAGTCAGGTAACTTTTTAGTAGTTTTCATTTTCTTTAAGGCAGACAGAAAAAAAGGAACGGTTTTGTTCTTTTCATATAATGACTATTTTGAAACCACTCACCTCAGTGTAAACAGCTTCAGGGGAAGTGTTTTAAGGAATTTTATCACTCATATTTAGCATACACAAAATCTGCTCATTTATTATATTTTAGTGAATACAAGGCAGCTAAGAGTTTCTGCAGACTACTAATGTAGAGTAGGCATTTTTCTCTTTAAGGGTATTGTAAGCTTTATTGGTTGCTGTGGTCAGCAAAGGGGTTATATTTTTTAAAAGGACAACAGATATGGGGATTTAGCAACTGGGCTATTAAATCTCCCCAGATGTACAAAGATAGTCGGGATAGCCATAGCTTTAGTCTTTTGTGAGATGGCCTCTGCTTTGGTTCCAGGTTTTATGTAAAATGAAATGTGTATTTTTTTTTTATGAAAAGCAGAGATGGATAGCCATACTTTAGTCTTTTGTGAGATGGCCTCTGCTTTGGTTCCAGGTTTTATGTAAAATGAAATGTGTATTTTTTTTTTATGAAAAGCAGAGATGATCGACCATTCCATAGAGCTAACCAGTCTAGTAGTAATCCAGTGAAGCTAGATGTCAGAATTTTTATTTTATATTTGTCTTGTCAAATACTGAATTACCGTATAACTTTAGATGCTGTTTTGACATTAACCCCTTTGGAGCTGGGAGTTGGGATTTCCCAACATTAAACGTGAACACATTTCGCAGAAGCTTTTAGCATCGGATTATCTGGACATTCACACCTAGTGTGAGTGTTGTGACTAAGTGAACTTGTGGCAGAAGACCAAGCTTTAAGGGATTGTGGACTTGCAGACCCTGACGCATTATATTGTGTGAGTAGTGTATAATTTTAAAACTTAAACAAATTGTGTATTTCAATAGAGGAGGACTTTTTGTTTTTTAAATGTAGCTCTTTTAGAAAACGATGAAAAGGATGAAGAGGATATGTCTCTGGATTCAGGGGATGAAATCTCACAAATAGAAGTATACAGCAATTTTCATTCAGAAATATTGGCGAAAGAGACCAAAGGATCACGTGGAACAGATCAAAAAAAGAATATTCAAATTGAGTTGCATTCGTCTCTTGACGTGCAAAAAAGTTTATTAGAAGATAAGACTTATCAAATTGATTCTGAAGAGAGAGCTTCTATTGATGTATGCTCTGAAGGACAGAACAGCAATTCGGCTGAACAAGATTCATATAGTAACTTTCAGGTTTACCACAGTCGATTAAATATGTCCCATCAGTTTAGTCATTTTAATGTTCTCACTCATCAGACATTTTTGGAGACACCATATGCCCTTTCATCAAGTCAGTCTCAAGAAAGTGAAAATTACTTTTTATCTGCTTATACTCAAAGCTTGGATGGAGGTAAATCTCCATTAAGTTGGGGGAAAAGTGATTCTTCCAGGCCATATTCAAAAGAGAAATAATTACAGTAACTTTTCTTTTTTAAGTAGGTTAGGAATTTTTCTGTTTCTTAAAAGTGAATTAACAATTTATATTTCATTCTCTAAACAAAAGGTTTCTCATCTTTTCTTAAATGTTTTTTCCCCTCTTATTTAAATCATGATGGCCTGTAACAGTTGAAACATATGAAAATTGATAAATAAATATATATTTTTAACATATATTGTACTTGAATTCTCATGTTGGCACTTTTAAGTTTTACATTTGTATGTCACCTGTACTTTGGCTTCAAATTGAAGTCTTTTATATATAAAACTAGATGTTTGCAAAAGGATAGTAAACAGCAGTGGCTTTACTTTTCTTCCTCTACCGTCAGATGACACCAACTACTTTTGCTGAGATGACTTGTATTTATTTTGATTTAAACTTTTGTATAGTGTTTTTATACAGGTATAAAGCCAGTGATGTTAATAATATTTACAGGCTCAATACCTCAAGATTTATCTAACAATGCAGTTTCATTTAGGTAATAAACTATGTACATAGGACTTAGGCCTTAAAACCAGGCAGCATTTTTTATCTTCAGACTTAACCATGTAAAAATTGCCCTATTGCTAAGATTTTGGTCAGCTTTTTATTTGAGAGTACTTGATGATTGATTTTTCGGTGCCTGTGTGGCCCTTGAGTTACCCAAGTTAAATTTCATATTGTGAAAGATAAGTTCAGGCATTGGACAATTTGGAACAAACCCACTGCCTATAGATTTTCAAATTTGTAGTCATATATTTTTGAGGTGGTAAACACTTAATTGCTAGACTAAAAATAACTTTAAATTCACAAATTATCTGGTGGAGATAAATTGGTAAATTTTATACCCAATAACTGCCTATTACTAATACAAATTGTAAATGTTTTTGAAAATGCAGTTCCTTCAATAAAAGTCATAAAAACTGGATTTGGAGGAAAGAAAAATTACCATGTTAGCCTAAACTGAATCTGGGTTACTTTAGTAAAAGTTGGGGATGTATTAAGTCAAATTTTCCTTTGGTACCTCAAAAGAACTTGGAGTTCTACCCTTTTAAATCTTTTTATAGAACAAAATATATAAGTGGTATTTCAATTAATCAGCTACACATATAAAAAGTGTGGAAGAACATTGTTAACAGGTTAGAAACTCCAGATTGTGTAAGTAAGGTAAGTAGAAAGTTTTTATAGGACTTAAATACCCAGATTGTGACAGAGCAGAAAAATGTTTTTTTACTACTAAACTTTTACAAAAGTATCTTTTATTGTAAAATATATATATATACACAGCATTTTACTACATAATGTACATGTTTTAAATAAGTATAAAATAAATTTAGGCTATTTGAAAAATACAGTTAAGCAACGAGGACATTTATAATTGGAAGACAAATCAGATGTGAAGGATTTGATTCTCTACATTTAAAACGAAGAACTAAAATTCTCTTCTTGATTGGCAGCTAAAGGCATGAGATTAGTTTCCAACTCCCTTTGCTTCTGGAGAAGGCCCTGAAATCACATTGATATGTTAGTAAGGTGTGCAGCAGATTTGCAGATTATTCCTTTTTTATATTTTTATCCTGTTAATTTGGATTTCTATTTAGATACATGGCTACGGTTTAAGCTTTGTCATCTTAAATTTTAATCACTCAAAGAAAACTTTAGTAATTCTCACACTAGACTTCTTCACTTGGATATTGTATAGCTATGACATATTTTGCAAGATTCTATTTTTAGCATAACCAATAGAGGTGACTTTTCCTAAAACCAAGTCTCCACAACTAACTATGGGGCTAAAATTCTCTTCTTCCTGTTTCCCAAATGCTCTACTGTTTATCTTGCCTGCACTAACCGTAGTGGCTAATACAAGGCCCTGCCAAAATAACAAGTGGGTGAAGGTATACTTTGCATTCCTTGATTTTGTCTCCACTAAACTAGAAGTTTTAAGTAAAACTTTTAGTGATTTATCAAACTTGAGTTACATAACTCTATGCAACCAAAGCTAGCCTTTAAAAAACTACTTTTCGTCATAATCCTGGGTTAGAGTTATTTTCTAGAAAGAATTGGTAAAGCAACACCCGAATCAACAATTTGAAATGCCAAGAGGCACTGGTAAATGACTGAATGTGGACAAAAACACTCCTAAAATGGCAAGTGTATTTTCCCCAAATACAAAAAGTACACTGGGAATCAAAACTGCAGAACCAATTTTGCAAACCACTATATTTTTTAAGCCTAGGGGTAGGTTTTTGTAAAGCCTGCTGATGGAGAAAAATTATAGCCTTAAATATTGGATGTGTTACCTGATTTCATTTTTACCTGACCAAGATAAGAAGTCACAAAGATTGGGATAAAAAGTAGTCTGGTGAGTAAGGTTATATGTGTAATTTCACACTGAATTATATTATTCTTTGGAACTTGCATCAATGTTCTGTTCCAAACACTGCCAACACATTTAAAAACGTAAACTGCATTACTAAGAGTTAAAGCATAATTGTAAACTTTTTGCTTTTGGTTTTAGGGCCTTGAGTATATTTTATTGTTCAAATGTATGCATTTTTCATTCAATAAAATTGTCTTAATAGTTGAACTGTCTCATGATTTTATACTTGAAATTCTTAAAGACGGCAAGGCAAAGCAAACTGGAAAAAAGTCGTTTTATTTCCATGAGGCCATAAAATGCCTAGTTGGTTATATGATTTATGTTATGGGACTTTACAGCCATTCCACCACACAGCCCTTCACCAGCCATATACAGAAAAACAGTCACACATCTGGTGAAAAAGCTCATACCTGTCTCAATTCTGATAGTCCCTTCAAGATTGCTTGCTGTCGATCTCTGTTTTTCACCAAGTTAGGATTAAGAAGTGGGTCCCTGACATAGTCAGAGTCAAGTAGCTGTCGTCGTTCCTGGTCACAGTCTAAAGGCAGATGAAAATGGCAAAAGTCAAATACATTCCTAATATGATATAACCCTACACTGAAGTAATCCTAAGGATGCATTAATTTATATTCTAGGAAGGCATCGAGCAAAATTTAATAAATATTCAATTAAAAATTTAGTAATGGATCCCCAAACCTGGGCCAAACCTCATTATGACACTTTCTAGAACTAAGAACAGGAATACCACTTTGGATTTTGAATTTACAGTTATGAGGGGAGAATACTTAAGATTTACTTACCATGTAGAGTTTGGTACTGAGGATCTTCCTGGGTTAAAGGCCTAGACAGTGGTGCATCTGGATCAAGGTAATAGATCTCATTGGTTCGGACATAGGGAATAAAGTGGGATGGTTCAGAAATCCTAGATGATAATTCTGTTTGATTGCCTCTTGAGATCACGTTCTCTCTCTCATAATTACTCTTTTTTAGTGTCTGAGTTAGTTGTGTTCTATTTTTCACCACAGGTGATGGAGACCTATGTTTTTCAAAAAAGTACAAGTAGGGACTAAGAAGGTTTAATGCAAAACTATTTTAGATTAAGCATATCTACTTTTTAATTACATTTCGATTTATCCTGAATGTACCTATAATACCTTTAGAAATAGAATGGGACAGAGTTTTTACTAGTACTTGCTAAAGACACATACACTCTACTGGAGAAAACTACTAGATCCTGAGGCTCAATGTTAACTTTTGCCTAATGTTTCTCCTTAAATAATTCATCATAAATTAAAGTATTTACTATCTGACCTAAACTTGCTGTTAGAGCCACATTCTGAGATAACTAAACCAGCTGGTTCATGAACACAGATGATATAAAAATTCTAAGTTTCAAATCTCCCATTGGTTAACAATTTCTCATCCCTACCAGTCATTTCTTCCCTTCCCCCTCAATCCAAGCAGAATGTCTTGGATTGACACTTTGTAGCTAAGTCTGGAGATAACAGAAAATATCACCCACATTCCTGCCTAGAATGCTTAAGCTCAGTCACTTGGGTCTTCAAAATCTAGATAAAATGCCAGTCATCCTTTCCTTAAACCTCTACTCACCTGGAAGTCACACACTTTCCTGTTTCTGTCTTCATATGCATATATGCTTGACCTTACCTATATTTTGAGCAAATATTTTCTCTCTTGTACTGCACAGAAAGCATTAAGTAGCTATGGAATCATCCTATCCATAACATACCTTTCTTTGCTGAAAGAATTAATTTTCAAATGTTCTTCCTCCTAAAAGATGGATAAATGCAGAAAGGAGTTACAGTATTTCCACATGTCCACACAAACACTTTGTAAGTTATTTATTGAAATAATCAGAATATTTGAATAATAGATACTAGATAATGGGATAGAGAAACTTCATATTTTTCCAGAGTCAGAACCAATCCGGTAATTCCTGATCTTATAAATTATCCTGTCTAAATGGACCATAAACAAGTTTTGAATGGCTATTTGAATAAAGAATAGCATTAATCTAGACAAGGTTTATGTGTAAACTTTTTCTATAAAGGTCCAGATATTAAAATACTTGGCTTTGTAGGTCATGTGATCTCTGCTGTAACTCTTAACTAAATTTAACAGCTGTTGTGTGAAGCCAGCCAAAGATAATGCATGAAAGAATGAGTGTGGCTATATTCTTATATAACTTTATTTACAAAAGCAGGCAGCAGGATGGATTTGCCCATGGGACACAGTTTGCCAAACTCTGGTGTAAACTCAAGCAGATTTCTAGAATGCCTATTTAGATACAGAACAGCCTTGTCAAAACATGCATGAGGGGAACTGTTTTCCATCAAGAAACAGCAATACATGCTTTAAGGTATATATTTTTTAAGACAGAATATACCTTTTTGACTAGATGCCACCTGAACTTTGATTCAGTTTCTTGATGAGATGAATGAAGAATTTCTGGTGACGTGCCTCTATTTTGAGAGAGGTGTCCAAGATTATTTCTTTCTACCAAATGAAGCAGTTCCATTTGCCTTCTTACTTTTTTTTCTTCTCTCTGCTTTTGAAGCTGTTTAGGGTACTTTTCTGATGCTGGAATATACCTTTTAAGTGGCTTATTTATATTCCAATCAGGCTTTTTAGGACATTTCTTCATATGTTTTGTTTGTTTCTCTGTTCTTGTAAATTGACTATACTGATCATTATACCAACTGTTTTCTTTTTCTAAGTTGGCTCCTCTTTTCTCACTTAGTAGTTGCTTATTTTTCTTAGTGTTAAACTGTTCATTAAAATCTGCAGAAATCTCCGGAGATGAACAATTTATAATTTCTTTTGTTATTACTGATCCACAGTGTGATTCTGCATTGTTGATTATTGCAGTATTTAAATCATCTAAAAAAAAAAAGCTTCAGATGATT